ATTTCTTTTGTAACAGAAATTTCTGGACAAACAAAATTATTTTTCTTGTCTTATTTATATTTTAAATACAAGCGAAAGCATATCCTCTAGGGAAGTCTTGGACTTAGTGAACTATGAACTAGTCTTATGTGTTTGATCAATGGATTAAATGTAAGAAGCCTCAATCTTAAATCTTCTGGTATAAGATAGTCTGTATAAGATCTGTATGTATTGAATTTTAGAGGTGACTTTAGTCTACCTATGACTAATTAGAAGTCTTGTAGGTAAGCATAGTAAATACGGCAAATGAATGTACCTATGCCTTGAGTAAAAACTGGAAATGTTGGGTTTAGATCAACCTATAGCAGGTGAATGCTACAGTTTTACTAGATTAAACTGTTTATATTTGGCAGGGGTGGTGGAGAGTGCTGGGGATTGAACCCAGGGCTTGGTGCTTGGCGTAGTTCTCTTCTTAATATTCTTTCTCTCTTGCTCTTTCCCTTTTCTTTTCCTCTCCTTTGTTTCAATGTTAGATTTTACCCAGATCTATAGGTACAGAGAAAAGAGGATAGGGGAAGAAAAATCCATTGTTTTTGTTTGTTTTATCGGTTTTGTGCTCTACCACTGAATTATACTCCCCTGCCAGAACCTTTGACCTTTTAAGACCAAGTCATCCCTGGCTTGCTTCTTTTAGGCAGTGTTCATGGCAAAATTTGTTTTATGAAAGGAGACTTCATTTTGCTTATAGTTTTATGAAATATTAAATGTCCTTTGAATGTGTCGGTGTATACTTAAAAGTAATGTGACCTAACTATATTTGAATAAGACACTACTCATGCTCAAAAAGACCATGACTTGGGTACATAATCTACAATAAATGACAGTTTTCTTCTTGTTAGTCCTCCTCTCCTGTTTTTTGTTTCATTGTTAGGTCATAACTGGGTATGCTGGGTTGGAAATAAGGGTCTATAGGTAAAAAGGAGAATAGGGACAGAAAAATCTATTGTTTTTGTTTGTTTTGTCATTTTTTTATGTACTTCCTTTCTCTCATCTTTATTTTCATAACTTCCCTACTGTTTCTCTCCAGAGTTAGAAGTAAAATGGAACAGGTGAATCCTCACTATGCCCGGAAATCACCTTTTCTGAGACTATTATCTATTGGGCATCCATTATTTTTCAGTGCTTGTTAAGTTAATGTGTGTATATATTCTCTCATTAAATCCTTGTAGCAGACTATAGCTTTGTAAACTAATTATGCAAAATCAAACTCAGTATTAGGAAAGGCAAATGGCTTTTTTTTTTTCTTTTTGTACTAGGGATTGAATTTAGGTCCTCATGAATCTTAGCTAGTGCTCTAAGCTTCATCTCCACTGAGCTTCATCTCCTCCCCTCAATGACTTTTGGAATTTCAGGTTTCAGTGAAATGGATAATCAGTCACAAAGGTCATTAAGCATCATTGACTCATCATATATTCAATAAGTTTATTCATTTATTTATTTTTGGTGCTAGGGATTAAACCCAGGTGTGCTTTACCACTGAGATACATCCTCAAACTTTTTATTTATTTATTTTTGATATTTTGAGATAGGATCTCACTGAGTTGTTCAGGGCCTCACTAATTTGCTGAGGCTAAAAAGCAAAGGCAATGATCATGTTCAAAAAGTTTCCAATTTTGGCCAGGCTCAGTGGTGCAAGTCTGTAATCCCAGCAGCTGCAGAAGCGGAGGTAGGAGGATCTAGAGTTTAAACCTAGTCTTGGCACTCTAAACAACTCAGTGAGACCCTGTCTCTTTTAAAATATAAAAAGGAGTGGGGATGTGGGGATGTGGTTAAGCACCCCTGGGTTCAATCCCTAGTACCAAAAAATAAAAATAAATAAATAAATACAGGTTTCAGATTTTGGAGCATTTGACTAACTTTTAAGTCCTCAGTTCTCTTTGTTTTTGTAATGATGCTTTTTTATTCTCATGGCAATTTGATGAGGTTGGTGAGGTTGAGAGAGTATTATACTTTACTTAAAAACTTACTAGGCTTGATTCTATTCTGTTTTTTTTTTTTTTTTTGGTCTTGCCTAATAAGTTTTTAGCTTTTCTACTGGTATAACAAACTTTTTAAAAAAATTTTAATTTTTTAAAAAATTTGTAGTGTTGTGGATTGGACCTAGGGTATCATACATGCTAGGCAAGTGCTATACCAGTGGGCTAAAATCTCCAACCTCATACAATGAATATTTTTATGTATTCCTTATCAGTAGATTAGCCAAATGTTAGTTTATTTTGAGTAAATAAAAAGTGTTTATTTTCAGTAAATATGGATCTGTGGTAGCATTTTTGTGTCTGATATTCTAGATAGTCTCTTTTGAGTAACTATAATAACATTCAGTCTCTTCTGTTGATAGACATTGTTTGCTTTTTATAAATGCTTAGAAAAGTTTATATGTACATTTCTCTCCATTATAAAATGAATAAATTTGTTAGTTATCAGATTTCTCTTTTTTAAAAAAATATTAGTTTTTCAAATAATCTGTACCATATTATGTTTTAATGGTTGATTTTCTCATCCCCACCAGATCATGAGCAACCTAATTTGTTAGTCAAAGCATTAATGAAAATTAGGCATCATGGGCTGGGGATATAGCTCAGTTGGCAAAGTGCTTGCCTTGCATGCACAAGGCCCTGGGTTCAATCCCCAGCACCACAAAATAAAAAAAGAAAGAAAGAAAGAAAATTAGGCGTCTTGAAAAAAGATTTTCTAGTAGCTGAAGGTACCTCTTTCTTTACTGAAATCTATGATATGAGCTTTGTTCTGCTTTTCATTTTTACATTCTAAAAAGAAAAATTATAAATTTGAATATTGATGGTGTTAATATTATAAGTCTGGTTTTTAGTGGACTAAATATACTTTTTTTTTAGTGCAACTAATATACTTTAGTTACTTATTCAAGTGTTCTTTTTATTTTATCATTGCCTACATGTTGTTGTACTTGAACCCTCCCTCCATATGACAAATGTTTACTGAATGATTAGCTATGTGCCAAGCACATTTTGGTCTTTATCTTGTTGCCCTTACTGCTTTATTGGATACTGTTGATCTGTGCCTTCTTCTTGGTCTTTGGAGACCATGTTCTTCTGTTTCTCTTTTGTCCTACTGATTATTTTTTTCAACTTTTTTCTCATTTTCTTCCTGTAGACACTGTAAACATTGACTTCTTTCAGTTTTATACTTTTTATTCGTTCTATAGGTATTGTTGGGTGCTGGAGGTCAATTCCAGGGCCTTATGTGTGCCAGGAAAATGTTTTGACCCTGAGCTGTTTCCCCAACCCCTTACTTATGGTTTTAATTACCACCTATATACTCAAAACTCCCTTCAGACCTCTTCTAAGCTTTGTATGTTCAAAAATTATAAACACAGTGAATCTTCTTCAGATCTCCCATATTCAGTACGTCCTTAACAGTTAATTATATGTTTCTTCTTTCTTCTTTTCTTTTTTTCTTGGGTGGGGGGCAGTATGGGGATTTAATCCAGGGGCAGTTTACCACTGAGCTACATCCCCAGCCTTTTTTATTTTTAGGCAAGGTCTTGCTAAGTTGCTGAGTCTGGTCTTGAACTTGTGATCCTCCTGTCTCAGCCTCTTGAGCCACTTGGATTACAGGCATGTGCCACCACATCCCACATCATCGTTTCTTTCTGTCTTACTTGAATTCTTCTTTCTTCATTTTCCTGATAACATCATTCTTCAAATTTTCCAGGATAGAAACCTGGGTATTATTCTCTACTGTTTCCCCTCTTCAATCAAGCTTCAAGTTCTACTTTACTTCTGGATCTTTCCCAGATCTAGCTTCTTTTCTTCTGGTGGTAGCAGTGTACTTTTTGCCCCTCTACAGTATTTTAGAGTGAGTTGTCTGATTTTTATCTGTCTTGTTTCTTCTCTATCCAGAGTTTATATCTGAATTGTATCCAATCATATCCCTTCCTTTTTATGACAGAACAGTCTCTATGACTTGGTCTTGCTGTCTTTCTTGATTAATTCGTTCACCATTTACTATCTCTTGCCTTGCTTATTTTGCTATAGTAATATACTATACATCTCTATACACCTTTGTATTTTGAAATAAACTGTTAACCCTGCCTGGCATGCTGTTATCCCTTAGCCTTTAAAATTCAATGCAGTCTTCTCCATCCAGAAGCCTTGTGTTTCCTCTAACATGGATCAAGAGAATCATTTCTGCACTTCCATTCTAATTTTACTCAACACATAATATTGAGGGTAGTAATTTATCTGTCCTTGTAGGTAGAGATTATTCTATAAAGTGAATATGATCTTAAGTGCCTAAATTAATAGCTTGGTAATTATTTTGTTTTTGATAGTGGATATCTAAAAATTTTAGGTTGTTAGTCTCATCTGTTTATGGTTTTCTTTGTATAGATGATAAAAATCTGGGCTAAATTTGGGGACCTTCCTCTTCATAGATAGATGTGCTTACAGAGTACATATTGATTTTATTTATATATATATATATATATATATAGAGAGAGAGAGAGAGAGAGAGAGAGAGGGAGAGGGTGTGTGTGTGTGTGTGTGTGTGTGTACGCACGTGTGTGTAAGTACTAGAGATGAAACCCAAGGTCTTGTGCATACTAGGAAACTGCTGTACCACTGAGCTAGATCCCCAGCCCTTTACCACAAATATTTATTATAAAGGAAATGAATGTATTGCTTGTGAAGTCTGTTGCCAGAATCTAATTCCATTTAGTTTATCTGCTAATTTGAAATATTTGTTACTTCTTCCTAAAATTGTTACTACTTCCAGCCTCAAATTGTACACGTATATAAATTTCTGTCTTTTGAAAATAGTGGTCAAAAATTTTTATACTTTCTATAGTAGATTTGAGAATATTAGAATTATGACTAATTATGATTATAATCTGAAAGTATTTGCCACTTTTTCTTAGGAACTGGATTTTGAGAGACTTCTTTCCTTTTCTGATTTCTTATCCACCTTCTGTTTCTGCATTGTAGTTACAGATGTAGAGCTGAAACGACTTAAAGATGCCTTCAAGAGGACCTGTGGACTCTCATATTACATGGGTCAGCACTGCTTCATCAGGGAAGTGCTTGGGGATGGAGTGCCTCCAAAAGTTGCTGAGGTAATCTTTATGGTCTAGGTTTTCTTTCAAATATTGTTCAACAGCTGGGCTGTTATTTTTTTTCAAAGTTGTTTTTGTTTTAAATTATTTTTAATATTTCTTGTTTTGTTAAATATTTTTTAAATTTTTATTAAAAAATTTTTTTTTTAGTTGTAGGTGGACACAATATCTCTATTTTTATATGGTGCTGAGGATCGAACTCAGTGCCTCACACATGCGAGGCTGGTGCTTTACCACTGAGCTACAGCCCCAGCCCTTGTTAAATGTTTTTAATTTAGCCTTTTCCCCCGTTCTTTGTAATGGCTAGGAATTGAACCCAGAGTCTCAGCACACTAGACAAATGTTCTACCACTGAGCTAGATCCTCAGCCCAACCTATTTTAAAATTACTGGGGTGGAGGGGAGCTCCTGTTTTTAACAGATTTAATCTTCCTGACAGTTATTTTCCTTGCTGAGTAGATACATGGGTCTTGTTTTTGATATCAGTGTGGTTGTATTCTTAGAGGCTAAATGGAAATACTGTAGAGCTGTGCTTTTGGGCTTTGATAGCAGACATGAATCATGGGACCATTTATGTGATTGATCGCTTATTTTATAAATTTCATCTCTGGTATAAAATCTGTATATTTTATAATTCTTTCTTTCTTTCTTTCTATCTATCTATCTATCTATTTATTTTTATGTGGTGCTGAGATTGAACCCAGTGCCTCAGGCATGCTAGGCAAGTGCTCTACCACTGAGCCACAACCCTAGCCCGAAATGCTAGTTTATTTGAGCTTATTTAAATTCTAGTAAAATTTTTAGGATGAGATAAAATATGATATGGATAGCTGATATGGATAGTCCTTTTCTAAGAGAAAATTTTGCTATTTTATAGTTATATACACAGGTATGCATAGTTAGTCTAAATGTGAAAAAAATTGTAAAACAAAAATTATAATAAGAATTTTAAGTTTAGTATATTACATAGAACTTTAATTCTGTTTTTAATTTACAAGTTTGTATTTCTAAACTATGCTGTCGTGTTTTTTACAGAGATTTTTGTTTTTGTATATATGTTTTGTGGGGGTTATGTGTTGTATATATTGCATTTATTATTATATATTCCTTTTGCCTTAAATGCTAGTATACTATAAAAACTTGGGATTTAGAAATTTAAGTTCAGGGTCTAACCAGCAGTTTAATATGATGATATTAATTGTCCATTAGAGGAATGGACTAAACTTTTTAAGTTTATACTATTTACTACAGGATGCTTCCAAATTCAAATATATGCTAACTTCAGCTTTTCTTTCCCTTGAATTTCTTTCTTAAAAGTCAGAAGTGACCCAGTGTATTCATGATGCTGGGAAAAACTTAGGTCATAGTATATGATCTCTTGGAGTCACATATAAAGGTCTACATATGCATATACACAAACACACACACACACACACACACATATATATGCATATATGTGTATAAAGATAGATATCTGATCAGGTTCTTGCCCATTTTTATTTATTTATTTATTTTTAATTTTTTAAAATTTTTTAAATTTATTTTTTAGTTGTAGCTGGACACAGTGCTTTTATTTATTGTATGTGGTGCTGTGGATCAAACCCAGGGCCTTGCACATGCTAGGTGAGTGCTCTACTGCTGAGCCACAACCCCATCCCTCTTGCCCATTTTTAAATTGGGTTCTTTTTTCATTTTTGAATTTTAAGAATTCCCTATATATTGTAGACATAAGTCCCTTATAAAGATATATGATTTGCAGGTTTGATCCTGTGGCATACACCTGTAATCCTAACAACACAGAAGACTGAGACAGGAGATTGAAAGTTTGAGGCCAGCTTCAGCAACTTAGTGAGACCTCGTCTCAAAAAACAAAAAGGCTGGGGATTGTTGCTCAGTGATAAGCAACTCTGGGTTCTATCCCAAGTACAACCTCCCCGCCCCCCAAAGATGCATGATTTGCAAATACTTTTTTCTATTATTGAATTATAAGAGTTCTTTATATATTCTGGATGTAAGTCCTTTATAAAAGATATGATTTACAAATCTTTTCTCCCACTCTGTGTGTTGTCTTCTCATTCTTTTGACTGTACCCTTTGAAACATAAAAGTTTTAAATTTTGATGGATTCTAATCATTGTATTTAAAAAATAATTTTTATCAAAAAATACAAAGACTGGATAGTTTTTAGGTTAGGAGTGATATTCTTTCAGGTTTTCCATATCTAAAAGATAAAATGGGACTCCTGAAGTGTCATTTATGTCTGAATATTTCATAAACTTCGTTTCACCCAAAACTATCTTAATAGACTTTTTCTGCCCTTTGGAATGTCTTTTAAAATTCATTTCTGCCTAGAATAATTTAAGTGATTGTTTTACAAGAATTATTTCAATTTTCAATTGGAAAAAATCATAATGATTGTTTCAAGTTTGTTTTAATATATTTAACAATTTTTTGTGTGTAAACTCTTGAGTGCAGAAATTTTATAAATGCTTTAATAATGATGAACTTCTTTTGCTGTATTATTTTTTGATTTAAGCTTATTTTAAGTGAGAAAGGGTTTTATTAGTATGTGAATATTGATCAGTATGTATGCTAAGGATGGGTCACTATGTGAATATGACTCCTGTAAATTTTTTCTTGAAGTCCTTCAGAGAGATAGGGCCTTAAATTTGGGTAAAGAGGATCACTTATGCTTGGTGAGATTCTGGAGTCATGTTTTGAGACACAATAGCATTATTTTAATATCAACATATCTATAAGGAAGGCCACAGGAACCACTTAAGCTGCCAATTGTAGGTGCAAAGAGAACATAATTTCCTAGCTAATAGTGTTTTTTTTTAAATAATAAAGTAATAACATTTTCAAAGAACAAAACATGTATTTGGAATTTAGTGCAAAAACATCAAAAGCTTAAAAAATAATAACTTTGGGATATATTAATTAAGGAAGCAATGTTAGTTTCTAAATTATTTTCTAGAAGATAATAGCTTTATATTTTTAGAACTTTTACTTTTTCTGTAATCTTGCTATCATAAATTCCAAGATGGAGATGATTTTAATAAGAAATAGGAACTCATGGCTGTTTATAATTTTTATATGTAGACATTTTCTTTTTCAGTGCTGCAGATTAAATTCAGGTCCTTGCACATGCTAGCCAAACTCTTTACTACTACTAGTTATACCTCCAGTCCTCAGACTCATTTTTTTTTTTTTTTGAGGATAGATTAAAATAATTAGTATTTTGGTACACTTCTGATCTTATTATAGTAACTGTGTACTACTTGAAGAAGATGCTAAATGCATGGTAGTATGCATCTTAGTCCAGCTACTCATGAGGCTGAGGCAAGAGATCACTTGAGCCTATGAGACTGAGGCTAACTTGGGCAACATAACAAGATTCTTACCTCAAAAAAAAAAAGAAAGAAAGAAAGAAATTAAGAAAGAAAGAATAAATGAATAGAATTTGAAGAGATTGAAAAAATAAGTAGAAATAAATGAAAAAATGTGTTCTACTTGAAGTTAGACTTTTTTGAACCAGGCTACTAATTATTTTTTTGCAGGGGGCGGGGGGACCGGGAATTCAACTTGGGGCACTGAGCCACTGAACCACATCCCCAGCCGTATTTTCTATTTTTATTTAGAGACAGGGTCTCACTAAGTTACTTAGCACCTTGTCGTTGCTGAGGCTGGTTTACTCGTGATCCTCCTGTCTGAGCCTCCCAAGCTGCTGGAATTACAGACATGTGCCACCATGCCTGGTTAAGGATACTAATTCTTTTTTTTTTTTTTTTTTTAAAGAAAGAGTGAGAGAGAGAGAGAATTTTAACATTTATTTTTTAGTATTTGGCGGACACAACATCTTTGTCTGTGGTGCTGAGGATCGAACCCGGGCTGCACGCATGCCAGGCGAGCGCGCTACCACTTGAGCCACATCCCCAACCCCAGGATACTAATTCTTAATGATCTTTATATTCTCTTTAGAATACTGCTACTCTCCACCAAGAATTTTAATAACAAAACATTTCCACGCAGTATTAATTTGAATTTGTTTCCTACTGTTTTTACATTCACTTTAAAGTGGTTTTCTTGGCTGGGGTTGTAGCTCAGTAGTAGAACTCTTTCCTAGCACACATAAAATCCTTAGTTCATCCCTGGGACTTCCCCGAAGTGTTTTTCAGCATTTAAAAAATGTGATCAACAGGGTAAATTTATAGCTACTCATTAAATGTTTCTTTGAAACAGAAACTCTTGGGTTTTTTGCATTTTTGTTTTGGTGTTGGATATTGAACCCAGGGCCTTCTGCATACCAAGCAAGCTCTCTTATTACTGATCTACATCCCCAGCTCTAAGTAGAAACTCTTAAATCCCCATCCCAGAATTGATTTCAATCTTGGAGGACAGAGTAATATAGTAATACCATTTTCCCTTCCTCCAGGAAGCTCCTCTGACAGTGTTAGCTCATGCTGTTTTCCTCCTATCCCTTGACTCTTACAGGCATAAATAAAGAGTTACGTATAGAATGTAGCACAACACTTTATTAGATAATGGTTTATTCATGGAATTCCTGTCTAGCTGAATTATTATTTTTTATGACTTTCAAAAAATGTCCCAGAGTTCTGTGCATGTAATATAAACTTAATGTATATTTGGTTTATTAATGCTTTCTCTTTAGTAATTATAGTATTCAGCAAAGTCCTGTTGAAAGAAAGACCAGGATAATGACTATGAAACCATACTCTTGAAGTTAGTTTGCTTTGTTAACCTTTTAGTCTTTCAGCACTTAAACCATTTTCCAGTTAGAGGAAATGTACATTTTAAGCAAAAGTAATCTTGGAATCTGGGGTATTTTCAAACATAGTGCTCAACACGTGAAAGCAAACAGTTCATTAATTTTTCCATTAATGTTGATGAATTTATGCTGAGGTATTTGTGTTGCATTTAGATGTTTCTGGGAACTAGAGGTCTACATTTACTAGATAGTTTAGTGGCTCCCAAAATAGTG